CTCTGTGTGTGCAGGATGTGAGGGGTTAATCATGATAAGATCCTGTGTGTATTTACTGTGTGTGTGCAGGATGTGAGGGGTTAATCATTATAAGATCCTGTGTGTATTTACTGTGTGTGTGCAGGATGTAAGGGGTTAATCTGCTTCCTGTGCAGGATCCTATGGAATCTTAATAGAACGCTGTGCATATCATTTAACTCTCTGAGTACCAGACAGGTATTTAACCCATTACTGACGGGCTGGGAATAATATATAACACTGCCAGGGTTTATTGCATTTAATATTTCACACTAATATCCTGACAATACATTGTGTTTAATATCAGAGGGAGATAAAATAACTTATTATAAGATTATATGATGAGTATATAGTGCGTTACTTTTACTCCAATAAAGTCTGAATTACCTTATAATGTGTGAGGTTTCCGGCTCTGACTGTGTTGGATATAAAGACCCCAGAATAAGGCTTTGGGGGCTGACATCGTCCTTCTCAGGCTGGAAAGATAAACTGCTCTTATCTGATTGAAGTTTCAATTTATGTTAGTGTGTTCTAAAGGGGAACCTACAAATAAATGAAATATTAATACATTACTAGACCGTATACACTGGGTTAATAGGGCAATATACAGTAACATGCCATACATTGCATTGAAATGTCCAGCGATTTGCATTCTGGGTAGCTTGTTATTAAAAACAATACATGAGTATACGTCAAAGAAAAATCACTGAAAAAGACACAGAAAGAGGTGATAAAAATAAATTCTTTCAGATGGCTCAGCACAGAAGAGGTTAATAATGTTAGTGTCCCTTTATATCGTGTCTCTGTGTATATATTTATAGAGTTTAGATGGACTGCTTTCATGCGCATTTGTAACACCGATTCACATATTACTGAATGCATTGCAAAGAAAGCCAAACTCAGACACAGAATCGTCCATTATCGCGTCTAATCTCTGCGCAGTCTGACAACGTTCAATAATGACGCTACAAAGTGCACGTATTAAACGTCTAAATAAATCCACAAGATCTAATTATATCAATAATATTACAGGAAATCGCAGTCTTTATCTCACCTGATGTAAAGGTGTCTGATACTCACCTGGAAACCAGCTCTAGCACAAGCAGGTCAGGGGGGTTGAGAAGGTAAAGGGTTGGTTTATATACCATGGTTGCCCCCGGGGGATGAACGGTCTGGGAGTGAATTGAAGGGTCCCTCTCCTCACAGCTCATTAACGATGTCATAGCATTTCATTAAGCTATAATTACGGTCTGCAAAGCCCAACTATTACATCATATATTTAATAAATTCTAAATCCATGTAGAAAGCTCTGATATACATCCTTTCATATAATAAAAATCTATATTATTATTATTATTATTATATTAAAAGAGCTGTGCTATAGGTGGACTAACAAACAATTAGTCACCACAAACAAATTGGACTCAGGGACAGTAGGTGCTGCGTAGCTTACTATGTAACTGGTGTACAATGACAGAGAGAGATATTACTCTATTAAACTGATCAACTTAGCCTTTAGGTGAAGTGCACAGACTCAGGTATATATAAACTTACCAAAAAAAAAAATATTAATTAATATTTTAGATTTCAATTCCCATGGAGATTTATTGAAAACATAATTAATTAATTTAACTGGATATACCACTCTATCAAATGTGTGGTGACCATATAAATGTGTGATCAATGTATTTAATTAGCTTAGAAACCCATTAAAAAAATAAAGATAAAAATATCTCAGATCTATATATTCAATTAGAAAAGTTGAAAAGAGAGTTTAATGCAACTAAGAATTTAGATAATAAAGAAAAATAGATCAAATAAATAATATAATTAAAAAACAGCTACTTAATAAAGCAAATATCCCCTAAGAAAACTAAAGGTGTATCAATCCTATTTAGTTACCGATTATCTTTTGAACAGATAGTAACATATACAGATCCAGAAGGTCGATTTCTTATCCTAGTTTGTATAATAAATAATATCACATACACTATAGTGAATGCTTACTTTCCTAATGTGAACCAAAACAAATTTATGCGATCACTCATGAATAAAGTAACTGAATTGCAAACTGGCATTACGATCACCATGGGAGACTTTAATCATATTTTAGATCCTAACATGGACTCTACAGCAAATCATTCAAGGAAAAGGAAGTCATTTTTACATAAGGAATGCAATACTCTTAATAAAACTTTAACAGGCTGTGGACTTTATGATACTTGGAGAACATTTCACCCTAATA